GACAGTGCTTCTGAAATCTTGTTCTCCCGTTATTAACATCACAGTTTCCTTTACCCTTTTACACACTCCATGGATTTAAAAATTGCCTCCCAGCTTTCCTGCAATTAGGTATTGTTTATACGTGTTTGGAACAGAACGATTAAAAGTGAGAAGAGAAGCCAAGTATCTTTGATCTACTGGCCTCTGAGTAGTCWTTCTTGGCACCCATTTGAGCCTGACTTGTGCAAGATGGGGATCTGCCTCAGTCCCAGGGTGTTTCTTGCTCTTGGATCCCAACTTGCTGGCATTGCTGCTGTTCTTCCCACAATTCTTGCCAGAGCCACTGGAGACCCAAAGTGCACGTGTGATTCCAAGTCCTCACAAAGTGCAAGAACCATTCTTGTGACATTTTGTTCAGTGTCTTCCGAACTTAACAGGGATCAGTGTTTGTTACACCAGTTCAGTGGGGCAGGAGGTTTTTGAGCACAAGATACATTTTCAGTCTTCACACCAGAGTCTGCATTCTGATCTTGATATTAATGCAAATTTCAGTTGATTTTGAGCACAAGTTTTTAACTAGGATCTCATTGATTTTCCATAGGGAAAAAGTTTTCTTATCTGTTTAAGTTTGAAAATTTTGAAATAAAAGAATGTTTATTCAAGATATAAATAAATCACATTCCTACCACTGCAGAATTCATAGGGGAACACTGCTAAAGGAAGCAAGAGCAGTCCAGGCATTCATCTACCTTATTAAAGGATCCTTTATTTCCGAAGTGTAACCACCAGATTGGTGAAGCTGACAGCTTGWATATAAAAGCTTAAGAGATAAGAGCTCTAAATAGCAAATTTACAAATTAAGATATTAATAGTATCCTCTGRTGACAGACCTGTAGCCTGATTTTTAAGAACTCCCAGACAGACGTCCCAAGGAGGCTGTGCTGAAGAATACTTGGGTTATACTGGGAGACAATACTTGTCCAAAAGACATGAGGCATGTTCAGTCTTACATTTTCATCAGAAGGTGTYTTACAGACACAGCACTTTTGTTTGGAAAACACAAGTGAGAGGCCAAATAAGTGAAAGCTAATTAAGTCTGCTGTGATGAAAAATAAATCTTAAGAACCTTTGCAGCAGGAGAGGAGCTAAGCACTGTGAAGGTTCTGGGAACAATCCAGTTGATTCTGGTGGATAAAATTCTGAGTTTATGGGGCTAAAAATGGCACAGAAAGCCTTGTTACTTATGTTTTAATAGWCAGCAGAGAACTATCCACCTGAGCAATSTAGATCTGTGGGGTTTGGGTTTTGTTTGTTTTGTTTTTTTCAGTGACTAAAGCAATTGCTACTTGTCAAGATTGAAACAGTCTGAAACAACAACTTCATTTTTCACTGTGTAGACACTGTATAAACAAACACGACACTTTCATTGTTTAAGTAGCCAGCATTTTTTTTTTATTTTAAAAGTTTTTTTGGCATAACTAGCCTCTCTGTTTTGAGGAACATGGAAATTTCAATTGAAAGGTGTCTGTTTTTTCAAAGGACAAATAACAATCTTCATAAATCAGCAATATAAATTTTAAGGCATCCTGTACAATGTGTCACTTCTGAGATTCTAGGATTTATGTACATTACCATATTGCATTGTTTGGTTTTCAGAAAAAAAGCAGAAACTTTGTTTTCAGACATGATGAGACTAAAAAAGAATGCATGGAAATAAACAGACTTTATGTCTGAAAATTTAAGTAAAACCATGGAGGTTCTGCTTTTCCACTGCTTTAGATTTATGCAACTTCATTCCTTCATTAATGTAAATGCTTTCGAGATTACTGTGACGTATCACTTGTTCTGGCTTCTGCATCTGAATGGCTCTGAGTACATCYAGACTCAGTCAGGGAAAAGGACAAGTGCTGTCACTAATTCTGGGCATGTAGGCAGCAGGCCCAGGCAGYAGGATGGGTAAAAATCCTCCTCTGGCATTTTGCTTGGTGCCACAGGAGTTTCCAGTCTCACCACCTGCACTTGGCACCGGCTTCCCCGGGCTCTGCRGGAAATCTCTGTGAGCTCTCAATTACCCGAGTGAGCCTGGCAGGGGCGGGCTGCCTTCAAACAGGGAAACTCACCRCTTTGTGTTTTCTAAGCTCAGACAAACTTTTAACTTGTGAACATGTATAGAAAGTGGTAATAGTGCAAAAATACCTTTTTAGGTTTTTTTTTTCATGACTTTGTTTAGGCTCTTTGTTGACAAGAAAAAAGTAAGTGGCACACTACTGTCAAGGGTTCTAATCTTGATAAACTCTATAAAAGTCTATTCATCATGTCACAGACTGAACCACTCAACTTTTCATGAACTATTTTGATTTTTTCATTAGAAACATTGTCTTGCTATCCTACTGTTTTGCCTGCAGTATTAATTACTCATGTAATGCACAGYAAAATTCTGTTGTATATTCTGAAAATGAATGTGACATAATGTCTCCCATTATTTCATTTTATCAGAGATATGACAGACATAAATGTAAAGTATTTGTTATTGTAATATTTTTTCATTTCTATCACTCAGCATTGCATGGTGTGTCTAGGTTAGCATGCTCCWTGCTGCACCTTATTAGGGAACTAATTTAGATCTTAGTCACTAATTGATTTAGTCATAAATGTTTAATTAATGTAATGGCTCCATTATGTGCCTCTAAAACCACTTGAAACAAATGACTTATTGGAATTCCCTCTGCACTCCATGAAGCTTAGGTTTCATACATTGGAAACACAGAATGTTTTAAAAGTTTTAATTGTTAATCAATTGTGTATTAAATTAATTTTTACTAATTAAAACATGGTGGAATAAAGAACGTAAAAATAAATGAGAACAAAAATTTAATGAATTAGGTATAATATCACAATTTATTCTGTGATTRTTTAATAGAGGCTCATATGAGCACTTTGAGCTGTGATGAAATTCACCCTGAGTAAAACCCAGGGACAATGCTCGCAGGCTGCTTAAATTCTAGTTATGTCACTGTGCCAAGTTTYGCTAACTACAGTCACTTTTTCAGGACCAAACTCTTTCCACAGCAAGAAAATATCAAATTATTTTCAAAAACTTCTCAAAAATGAAGATGGGAACAAGTCAGATAAAGCTTATATTATAATTTTGTTTCTGCTCCCTTTTAAGTCCTCGTGAGTTTGAGTAGAATATATTTCTGAAATMATGAAATTCCTTCAAAACCTTTGGAATCACTGGACACATGCCTGGTGTATAATGTRAATTAAACATGAAGTATTGAAGTAGCACTTAGAAGAGGGATAGCTGTAAAAGTGGAAATATGTTCAAGGATGAATTTGAGCACAAGAAAAGGAAGGTTATATAGAAATAGATCTCTAGAACCCCAGAAAAAACCTCACTTTAAGCAGTATCCAAGTGTGTCAACATGCCAAAGAAACAGGTCTGTACTGCAGCCACCTTCTCCAGGTGAGGAACCTGGAAGGTATGAGAAGTATGGCTCTGCAAGGAATTGCAGCAYAATTCCTAAAGAAGGCACACATCATCCCAACCACAAGCATGTCAGTGAGGCACACATGGAATTTTCCAAGGAAAAGGTAGTATTTTGCAGGGTGTGCTTGCATGGTGGAAAATGGTGATAGGCAAGGTTGCAAGAGGCAAAAAAAGCTCAGCTGACCCACTGACCCACTCAGTTTCAGGACAGATTCTTTGATATTGAAACAAAGCACCAGCACATATGTTCACATGTACATGCGAGCATGTGTATTTAGTTGATCAAAAATGGAATATTGCTGACCTCAGARAGGAGGGCCCTCATGTTTTATTTGGTCAAAGGAAAGTAAAATATCCATAGGAAAATACATCCTCACATTTGCTATCCAAGAAAATATCTTCTCATAAGMCTCACCAGTTCATGAGTCAACATATGCCTGTCATGCCAAGATGAGAATTATCCTCATTACATGCAGATGAAGATTCAAAATACCAAGACCTGCTGGGTCTAAAYGTCTTTTACTGAAAAACCATCCCCACTGCAGCTGTTGATGTCTCTTTTAAGGTGAATCGTGCCTGTTCCCTGAATGTAGACACATTATCCAGGCATTATACAGTCATTAAACTGTACTCASAGACATGGTGGGTATCCTGACAGAKAGCAGCTGAYGGGTGTCCATGGTGTTTGTTTGACCAAGATACTGGAATGCTGCCCTGGGTACACAGAGTCTGGAAACACAATGTTCAGTAAGACCTAGAATATGCAACCGTGGTTAAAACAATCTCACATGCAGAAGCACATCAGTGCATGGCCTGAATGTGCAATGCTGAAATGAGCACACAGATTTTAGAGGCGCCCYTCTGATATGGCCAAGATTTGTCCCCTGAGAGGAGGTGGGCAGACAGCCGGGCAGTGAGACTTGAGGAAAGAAGTCTGAGTTAGAATCACAGAGCAAGAAAAGAAATTGTGAAAGGGTGGTGAAAAACTAACCAGAAAACCACTAATAGAGCAGCGTGCAGCAATGGTTGCCAGAGGCTGGAGGGACTGAGCACTTATGTGTCTGCAATCCTATGGCTGCTGCTGCCCAGAAAGTCTTGGGAGTGTCCTGCTGAATCCTCTCCAATACCATTTTGAGCATCTGATAAGTGACTATTGTTACTTTTGCCTAAAACAGAGGAGCCTGGCTATAATTACACCGAGGGTGTGTGCTTTGCCACAAATATGCCTGGAGTGTTTCATGTTGTGACGACATGTTTACAATTCTGTAATCTTTATCCTATATAATTTTAAGGATTTTTTTTTCGATGCTAAACACTAACGAGTGCTCTGACTCCTCAAATCATGAGAAAGACATGAAGGATGCATCCCATTTCCTTTCTAGCTGTTGTGGCTTGGAAGGAAGGGCACAGCACTGGTTTTGGTAGCCCAGCTTTGCCACTGAACCTGCCTGATGCTGCATTCAGAAAACTCTGAGCTCTCCCCAGCATCAGCTCAGAACCTCTCCCAGTTCTGGTGCAGGTAAGAGGGGGATAAAATTTACTTTTCTTTTCTTTTCTGGCATGTCTGCTTCTTTGGGTATGGCTTAAGCTGTTCAATATAAATTTTCTTAGGAGTGGGAGGACTTCAAAAAGGTTGCTGAATGAGAGCTGGGCAGAAAACAGATAATGGGCAGAAATACCGTGGGCTTTCCTGCTCTGAGGCTTTAGGAAAAACACAAACAAGAATCCAGAATTAAGTTACCAAACCTAAATTATTATTTATAATTAGCCCTTTCAGATAAGACTTGTCTGTGTACCAAAGAACACTGAAAAATGGGGCTTTCATTCACAACCAGCTTTTTGATGATGTGAAAAGTTTAGGCAACAGAACTGCAGAGGAAGAAGAAGAGAAATAGAAGAAAAATGTAACAAGGGAGATTATGAGAAAAACTTGTTAACGCCAAGGAGAAAGTGAAGCAGTAAATGGAAAACAGTAAATTCTGGAAGAGTGGGAAAAAAAACCCAGAGGATAATCCAAGGGGGGAGGAGACAGACTTGAGGAGAYAGTTGGTGGAGGAGTGACTGCTGAGATGATAGGGTGGAAGGTGACAGACATACACAGAGCTGGAGGAGGGAGGAGATTCTGGGAGAAGGAAACAGGGCTAAAAGGAAGCACATGGAGAAAGGAAGGCAGAAGTCTGGCAACAAGCRGGAGGCTGCAGCTGCGAAAAGGCACAGGAAGCAATCAGCAGGACTCCAAGAAGACCAAAGGTAGAACAACAACGTTTCATAAGAGGATAGGTCAGAAAATATCCAGGCTAATGCAAATTTCAAGAATGTTATTTTATTCCTACCTTTCCCCTGTCACTTGTTTTTTCTGACTAACTTTAGAGAAGTGGAAATTTCGTAGAAAGCCAAGTGAAGAGGTTTATGCCATGGTGTGCCTCTTGAGTTAGCACTTTGGAGTTTTATAGCTCCTGCCATAATGACTCACCTCCAGGGTCCTGRTAATGCTCTGGGACAGTTTTTATCATAATTATGAATGCACTTGGCAGACAGGCTGAWAACTGGTGCTGTTTGCTGTAACTTTGTGGAAGGAGGTGACTCTATAAGMYGTTCAAATAAAAAAAAAATAATACRATGCTTAAAATTTAATAATTTAATAATTTGAGGMAGCATCATCCCTGCTGTGATRAAAGAATTTATCAAAGATCYRCAAAGAGAGGCAGAGGWAGCAATAGCACAGMCACTTGGCTCAGATGTTCATTTAKACAACCRARTTCTGAAYCATAGTCTGTGGAAATTGTTAGAARGTGYCCCATGRATTTGAGCAGCTGTACTCACAGCTGGGATCCCTCATCCTGACCCATCTCTGTGCTTCGTGTAAATAAATAYAATAAACYCAAATCTGAAGAGTTATMTCTAATATGACACGTATTACCTGGCTTCCAGTACTTTGTGGGGATTAACTGGGATTAGGCTGTGTTTGCAAAGAGTTACTGTAAAGAGCAAAGTCAATTAAACTTGCTCTGGATTGGCAACAGGGACCTTATACGTTTCCTCCAAGTGCTGGGCTATTGCAGAGGGTAAAGGGATCARAGGCAAAGGCTGGTCCTGAAAGGATTTCTTAGAGCTGGTCTTTCTTGTAAATAAGTGTGAGAGGGTATTATCTTGGTCTCAGAGGCTTCATAATTCCTTATCACTTGAGACAGCTTAGCTACAGGGAGGTTTAAAAGGTCGGTGCAACTTTCAGTTTTTCTCTGAGGCTGATGCAAGATCAACTGTCTGGGAGGGCACTGGGCAGCAGGGCTGCTTGGGGTTGCTACAGCAACTTCATTTTTCTGCGAATAAAGAGGTAAATTTGCAGGCTCTTCTGCACCTCTGCAGTTCCTTGTGGCAAGAGTTGTGAGAGCAGCACTCCCTCCACACAGGTATGGATACACAGCTGGATATTGTATAAATTTCTTGTAAGTGTAGCATTGCACCCCATAAATTGTAAAATTCTCCTAATTGCCGGTTATTGAAAGCAAAGAGAGATGTAATTCAGCCTCTACTTCTTGACTGTTCATAACTCTAACAAAAGTCCATTCACTAAAATTTATTAGGACTAAATATCCTGGTAATCAAATTACTTCACTTGCATATCTTGATAATATTGCACATATTGCTACTATTTCACTGCACATTGTGATTAAATGTAAATATGTTGAAACTTTCACTGACACAAATGTATTAATAATGTCCCTGTTAATCATTATCTTGTACATAAAAGTCTATTATATAAGTTACAAAAAAATATGAGCAGAGATATCAAGTTTATGGCTGCATAAATTTATTTATAACTGTGATATAAAAGAACATATGAAAGATACTCTATTAATTATTAATTATGAGAATTATATCATTATTAATTAGAGGGGAAAGCATATATGTCTATTTCTGTGTAGTTTTAAAATGATAATTTGTGTGCAGTAAATATGCTGATGTAACACATACTTATTTTTATGTGGAAGTCCTGAGATCAAATGAATCACTATAGCATAATCATATGCTATTTTAGTGATTTCTTAACAATTGACACAATAGCTATATTTACTCAGTGATTTTTTTTCAACTTGGCAAAAATTTCCCTCTCATTAAAAATGTGTAGTCTACAGTTGCATAATTTTGGTTTGGTTTTTTTTTTTTCCTTTCCTCAAGTGAACCTTTAAAAGTCTCACTGTGAGCCTGAAGGAATGGAGAACTGTAAAAATCTCCTACTGAAAGGTCTGGGTTGGTCTATTAATGCTAGAGACATTTCTCACTGAAACCTGGCACAACCAGGAAAATGATCAGAAACATGAGGGGTTTGGGTTAAATTGCATTTTGGAACTAATTTTTTTTTTTTTTTTTTTTTTTTTTTTTTTTTTTTTTTTTTTTTTTTTTTTTTTTTTTTAACTGATAGTTATATGCATATTTCTGTAACATGTTTTCATCTGGAGGAATAAGGCCATATTTTAGGATTGAAAATTACATGATCTGAGAACTTCAGGGTATCTATTAGTTCCCTCATTCATTTACTGCCAGTGCACAGAAATCACTGCTAGCACTTTTTCCACTTTCTTCATAACTGTTAAGCTTTCTCAATACCCAGTGAAATTACACAATTTTTYGCAATCTTGTTAGATCTTCAGCTGTTGCCAAGGTATCTCCTGTGGCAAGGGTAGTTCTCTTTTTCAGTTTTGGGGTTTGGGGGTTTTGAGGTTTTTTTGGTTTTTTTTTGTGTGTGTGAGTGTGCGAATTATGCTTGATTCTTTTATTGTGGTAATTAAATATCTCGTCAAGAAAAATATTTAAAAATCTGMAAAATCTGCCTTTTCTGAGAGGATTTCCATCAGCTTCGTGCTGCCACTGCCATAGTTTTTGAGATTTCTCCTGTAGGGAGAAAACTGATTCAAGAAGGGCTTTGGCCTGTATTAATTCTGGAGATGATTTGTTAGAAATTATCCCCTTTTGACAGAAAACATAACTGGATGGCAAAAGCCTGGATCCTCTGGTACTATCCCAGCCACCAATCCTGATTCCCAAAGCAGGGCTGGCAGCTGCCCTGGGACAATGGTTGCTTCAGCAAAGTTTTTTATGCTGTCTGGTGAGCAGCAGGGCTTTTCCTTTGGTTTGSCTTTGGTGTTGGAGGTTGGACTGAAGCCCTGGGGAGGATCTTTGTGTTGTTCAGACCAAGGACATGTCTCCAGGTCTAAAACATGTAAATTGAAACATAAAGGTGGCACTTACTTGATAGGTCTTCAATACTTGAGAAGTCACCAAGAAAATGACCCTAAACTTAGGTCTTCATGACTGGAAAAATCCCCATTGTTCTTAATTATTACAGAGACAAAATTACAGTGCAGCTGGTAGGTAAAAATTAACGTAAGGACTACTCAGTCATTCTCCAAAACCACTGKCATTGTCTCGGATGATTCATTATGGTGACTGTTTCTCAACCAGGTATTGCGCTCTTGAAAGAATTTAGAATTACTCCATTATTCTGTGACTTCTGGTCTAAGGAGAAGAGTTTTGCAAGAAGTGGAATATGTCCAAGTAGGGACAAGATTTGTTAAAGATTTGTTAAATTTCTTCTGACTTTCAGAAGATGTTTGCTTTAAATTTTTTGTCTTCCACGTTGAAACCTCCTCTCTATGCCCTCATTGTGATATCCAAAAAAAAATTTTTTGTCAATAGGGTTCAGAGCCCTGCCCACTTCAAATGTCATAGACCCAGGGGAATAACAAAGATTAGGAGGAAGAATCTGCTACTGCAGGACACCCAAGATAAGAAGAAATTAAGAAAGCCAGCCCAACAATAATAGAATTGTGAACATTGATGGCCACCAGGCCATCCAAGATAAGAAGCCAGCTCAGCACAACTCAGAAATAGTCAGATACTGAGCACTGAATTTATTARATAAGCAGAACATATAAAAAATTAACAGCATATAGAGAATGCTTATCTTTTCTCTTGGTATGATGTCTTTGTGGATTTATCACCCAACACCCATCATTGTGTAAACAGGGAATAACAAAGCCTTGGCTCTCTGTGTGATTGGCTCACTGCACATCGGGTGATGAATCCTGATTTTTGGGATAATGCTTAGATTCCAGTGAGAGATGTCTCTAGCATTAACACACCAACCCAGCCCTTTCAGTAAGAGATTTTTATAGCTCTTCACTCTTCCAGGCTCACAAGAAGCCTGTTATAATATTACAGTTTCTGTATTGGATTCTGTTGTATTAAGTTCCTTCCTATCTATATTCTGAGTGACTCTCACATCAACCCATAGGGTGGAAGAATGAAGGTCTGTTCTATCCCTGCTGTTCTTGGGCTGTCTTTAGCTAATCTCTCCCCTAAAAACCACTTGAAAACAAATTTTAAAAGTAATTTTGAGGACTGAGAAAGGCAGCAGTTTATGCATATGCAGAAGCAATATTTCCAGGAAAAAAACCCTGAGGCAACTATTGGGTTTTCCATCCCCCATTTTCCCCCTACAGAAACTCGTTACAATTTGACAGAAGAACTCATCAGTGGCAGGAGCCAAATATATCACACTGTTTCCACTGTACTGCTGCCAAGTTGGCTTGAGCCACTGGTATTTTAGGATGTTTTTCCATATCGTCAGGACACGTCGAGAACCACAAGGGACAGCACCTTAGGTCCTAAGGCTTAACAGAGCTGGGAAAGCTACAGCTGAGAGTCTCTAGTGRGTAATGAAGGAGCCACACAGACATTTGGAAAGAGCCTTCCAAACTGGTGTGAGGAGAAATAAGGTATTAATGCATGTTGGGGAGAATCTTTCTTCAGGAGGTTGAAAAATGTGGGATATGAGTGGTTGGAGCATGAATCAGGGCGTGCACTGGAAAGCCTTGAAGGCCAAAGCACCTGCAGTAAAATCTGTGATGAGAYCTGGACAAGAAAATGCTACACCATGTCTGCARTCCTTGTCCAAGCTTTCCATTAATGCCAGGTGGTAAATATTTTGAAGTGTCTTCTTGAATTATCTTTTATTATCACAACTTCTTTCCATTTAGCAGAACCTTTTACAGCTCTTCTGATGTTGTCACTATTGGGCACTGATGTGGAGAGGAACTGAGAGGGCTTTTTGGGGAGTTTGAGTGGAATTGTTCTAACATTGGCCTTCTAACCCTTAGRTGTCTAAGTTAAGGCAGTTGTTCAGCTGCTTTGCAGTTAAAGGGGAGGCATCAGTACCTCTGAAAGATATRCTCCCCCTGGAAATGTCCAAAAACAAGTACTTGTATCACTTTGTGATATGGTTCAATAAACATGGTGGTCAAAAGTTGCACTTGATGGTCTTGGAGGTTTTTTCTAACCCTGACAATTGTATGATTGTATGATTGATTCTATAAGTTCTTACCTAAGATAAGATTTAAAGTATTTGGGATGAGTTATGTTCCTTCATCTCTAGTGAAAGGAAAAGAAATCAATTYGTCTCGCTGTTTTTATCTGAGAAAGTTTATTGCTAACAAATATTTGTAAATAACTTAGTAATGAAACTATGAATAATGAAACTATGCCTCTGTTTTATTTTATAAATTTAGAGATAAGATAGYAAAAGGAAAACTGAAACAACAAAATGTCTTTGTGCTTCCCTCYTTTTATGTGAGGTAACCTGACCTACAGAACTCTGTTCTACCCTTGGCTTTTGGAAAATGAGGTGGTACAAAATAGCAGTCACTGTGAGAATAGGCGAGATAGAAATAGCAAATATGAAATTCAGGAACAATGTTTGTTCTGCATTATTATTTTATAATTTGTGTGTTATATATTCATGTTTTTTCTTTTTATGTGCAATAGCTGAAGACAGGCCATGTTCATTCTAAAAGAGATTCCTGTGCAGTGGAAGTGAARTAATTTGTTGAGCTTCTCACGTTCTCACGTTCTGCTTCACACATATGGTGTGATGTGATACACAGAAGGTTTTAGCTTCCTTAGGAAATCAGATTAACTTTCATGAATACAAAATTCCTCTCCCTATAAAGTAATACCTTGTTGTATCTCCAGCACACACAAGAGGCAGAAGTCTCACCCAGCTGGKGGCATATTTTCTTTTTTCTTCTCTAGATGATTCATTTTCATCATTCTTCTCCTCAGCAGAACTAAGGCACATAGGTGAACCTGAATGTGTTGAATCAGAACAAGCTTATTTGGGAAGGACGATGGGTTCTTTTTTTTTTTTTTTTAATATTGTTGTACTTTTTTTTTTTTTTTTTTTTTTTGATGTTTTTTTTTTTTTTTTATGATTTATTCTTTCATTATTGAGCAAGGTACAACCCTTCCTGTGGGACTTTCCCACTTCCTGTGAAGAGGCCAGAGGGCCAGTAGTAGTGACAACAGGATTTTCAGTAGAGACAACAGAAGCCACATAAGTTGATGCTAATCGAATAACCTGGGTAAACAATAAATTTGTGCTTTCTTTTACCATGGAAAGAAGGTAAACATAATTCCTCCCATYTTTGCCTCAAAACCAGGGAGAGTACTCAAAAAAAAATGTTTTAAGTGCTGAGAATATTAACCTCATCTGCCCCAGGAGCTGACACTTAACCTAACAACTAGAAAGTAGATTTTGTTGGAGTATTTTAACAGTTAATGTCCTTAAAAAGTTCAGTGGGTGCAAAAGCACAGACAGGACTTTCCTGGAGCTTCCTAATTCATTTCCTAATGTCATCTAATACACGCTAACATCTCTGAAAAAGATTTAATGTTAACACTTGTTTTTATAGGCTTCATGATAGACAAAAGAAAAGCACTGAGTGTAATGACTGTGGAAACAGGAATATAAACTCATGCTGTGCTATACTGTACAGGAAAGAATTCCCACAGGAATGTGGGAATGTTTATGTAATCATCTTGAAAAATTCAAATTATGTGTACCATAAAGGCATGTCATACTCTGATGGAATGGATCTTAATGAAAAAAAAAAGAAAAACAAAACAGGAATACACTATTTAGGAATCTCAGGGCATACAGGAAAGCACCTCAAAGAAAGTGTTTTCCAAAAGGCCCCACTATGAGATAKCTATAAAAGCCACRAATAACACTCACCTCTTCAGCATTWTTTKGTCACTAGTATGTATGTTTACYCCAGAAAATGTGTGTGGACTTTATTTGGAGAYGACAGCAGCATTTCTCTTTTTCTACTTCCKACAATTTTCTGTGTCTTCATGAGCACATGAGTGTCATTTGCCCTATTTCTCTTTTTCACAACTTTTCCTTGTGGGGCAGTTTTTCTGTTGTCACACCACTGGGGACTCGTATGAAGTGCACAATTGTTTGAGTTTTGTGTCCTTCCTCTGCTGCTGTGTGTCTCTACTTTCTCCTGCACGACCTCTGAACTCTGAAATGAAGCCAGAGAACACAGGACCATTAAACAYTTATGGTTTGCTTTAGTTTGTTTTTAAGAAACAGAAAYGACTGACATCYAAAAGTTCACAGCTTCTCTCTCAGCTTCCCATCCTTTTAGCAGGTTTCTGCAGCTGACCCAGGCAGTCCTCATTTCACTGCCAAGCACAGCTGCTGGAAGAGATTTTGCTTGTACAGCATGATAAAAGGATATTGTAAATCATAGCMTTCAGTGATACAACTCAGCATGTGTATGTTGAAAACTGAACATCATTACTGATGTTAGTAGATTCCAACAAAAAACCCCAATAGATATTTTCCTCATACACTGCAAACACAGAAAATGAACACAGTAGGGAACATTTCCACTGGCAGCAGTGTAGGAGGATCCCAAACCAGAGTATCCTCAGGAGACCATCACAGGACACGTCCAAGAGAAACAATTAATCACAATATTCATAAAAGTAGTGCCTGGCAAACACAGTGTGGAGGACTGCTTAACTTTCAGCAGTTAAATATCCCCCTTTAATTAAAAAAAAATAGAGAAAAACATTTTTTTTCTGCACTTTTTGAGGGTGAGAAGTGGAGTTATTCAGGGTCACAAACTTGCCCTGGCAGAGAGCCTTGCACTGAAATCTGCCCAATAAGTTGCTCTCAAAAGACCAGGCTT